GGTGGTTTAAGGAGATGAAAGAATTAAATACAATCACGTATATACATACTTTTTATCATATTTATGTAATGTTAATAATTACAACAAATTATTATCTACATGGATACAATAATATCATTATCTTCCTAATTCTCGCTAAGCTAAAACTTGCTTTTTTTAATTTTGTTCGATCACTCCTTCGGTATTATGTACTCCTCGTATTACCTCACAGACCTAAGCCGAGGGTCATTCTGGCTGGTATCGTCGTACAGGATTAACAAGACTCGCCACCCGTCAGAAGCACGTTGTTCGCATTTACTCGAAACATTATTATCTACACAGCGTGTACATGCAAAAATCAACGTAGAATCGCATAGTAAAATAATATCAGCAATCCTAGTGTCGCAGTAGCTATTTTGATTGTTACGTTCAATATGGACTTAACATGGATTTTCTTTTTCTTCGTATTCGTATAACATAATCGTTGCACGCGGTACAATTCGAAAGATCCTTAGAAAATATATTTTATGCACGACCTTCGTCATCTCCATTCAATAATCTATATCGACCTATCAACACGATAATATCCCGTATCTACTCGATCATCTACACGAGTTAGATAATTCACGCAGACATTCATCTCGCACACGTAGTATAACGATTTACCTTAAATTCGTAATATAATTATCGTCATTATAAATCTATCTCAAATTTAATCTACAGTCATCCCTTATTCGGCACAGTATCTATATTTCATCGAATACCAACCACAATAAAACCCTCCCTTACAATATGCTATCGGGCGCCGAAAGAGTTTTATCCGTCGTCACACATTGAAATTTTTTTTTTTTTCACTCATTTTCTCATGCTTTTCTACGAATTCTCGCAGCTTACATTTTTTATTTCTCTTATAGTTTCAGTCGTCACGATTTTCGCGTCGCTCACAATATTACACGTAATCGGTACCTGTACGCGGTACCTTTTTCAATTGTTCCTGTTGCCTTCGTGCATTCTGTACAGTTCACGTAAAAATGTATTCGCACGCGAAAGCGACTCTCGGCCGACTTCTCTTCCCTAAGTCAATCGTCCTCGAAGCGCTCGACGCGAATACACGTCGAAGTATAAACGATTATCCGTACGAGATTGTCGCCGACAACTCGCAGTCGTCGCCACGTTGCGAGCATCGATATCGCTAAAAATAACCGTAGAACAATCGCACAGCAAAGCGCCGTGTTTAGTACCCAGCCTTCTGTACGCTTTCGTCCCTGGAATATTAGTAGCGATGTCATTCGGTCATGGGATAAATACAGGTGCACCGCTATGACTAAAGTGACTACGTGCTATTCTCCCTAGCGTTTCGCAAATTGAATTGCGGTCCACCGCGGGTTATCAGATAGTTGGAGAAAATTAGTTAACACAGTAGCTCAGAATATATATGTATATGCCCGTGAATAATCTACACTCGCCTAATATCCATTAGCGAGTGTTATGACGTAATACCGATTTGAAATACCGCGAGGAGTCAGCTAGATCTCGATAGTCGATGGCATCTGAAAATGCGATATCGTTAAATGAAAAATAATTAAAAAAATTTTTCTCAAATTTTCCAATAAAATTTGCACTCGGTGTCGCTCGAGGATATCGAAAATATGTAACAGTAGTAGCAGCCGGCTTTAGGTCAGACAAGAAGTAACGTATCGCTACCTCGTCACTGCCTGGCTTACGATTTCGCATTGTCCACCGCAACTCGCACAACGTCGGCCGGATGAAGGTATTTGCAATCTCGTTGGTCCATTGTGGCTGGATCATCCAGCGGATATTTGCAGGTCGCCGTCGATAAGTCGATTCACAGACCTCCCAAGGATTCTGTGCACGGTGCTCGGTGGGTGTCTCGCTAGTGAAAAACGGAAGAGGAAACGGCGTAAGGTGACAACGCGAAAGGGTGGAGAGTAAGATATTTACTCTCGGGCATTCTTTTGTTTTTCCTTGGTTTCCTTTTCTTTGTCTTAGACATCGCCGAAATACACGCGAGAAGAAAAGTTTTCCCTATGACGCACGGGCAAACTTCGTCTGTGAATTTGATTCGGAGTCGACGTGGCTTCCCTCGTGCACCTTGGTCTCCACGCCTTGGGCGCGGTGATCTCATCGCACCGGGGGAAATACTCTGGCCAGGTCTACGGGAGTCGAGGTGTTTCGCAGTGGCGGAATCGTTTCGAAATTTTCCCACACGTCGCTCCGCGTGTGCGCGTGTACGTCGTCGCGTTCTCAATGCACGATCGCGACGTGACTAAAGCGCACAGGTGGTTGCATCCACGTAGCGTTGCGAGCTTTGATCAAATAGTACAGACACGGTCACCCCCCTTAACCTTTGAACTTTGCCATATTCGGGGGAACAAAAAATAAGCGTGAACCGTCGAGAATTGCGAAACAACTCGCGCCACCGCGAGGTCCTTGCGAAATGATTTTCCGATTTATTTAGCTCGAGATGAACCGAGGTAAAATCCCTGGGATTTTTCGGAGACCTGATTCTTTGGTTGGACGCTATATCGACCGACGGTCTGATTTCGAAAATGCCACTTTCTTCCACTCTCCGGCACATTTCCTCTTATCGAGTGCTGATCAGTATGTCACGGCAAGGAAGGTCATCTCGAATCATCGTATGTGTCTTAGCGATGGGCGAGCGAGAATCGCAGCGACGATTCTTATGGTCATAACGTATCTACAAGTATTTACAAAATTAGGCGACGCACCTGACGCTGATTGTGATGCGGGTATTAAAACGGCAGTGATACTAACAGCCGGGTACGATAGACGAAGGAGAAACGATAAGAAACGGGGATGACGATTTTATAGGAAATTTCGATATAATTAATCGACGCTCTCACACTTATCTCTAGCAGTAAGACAGCGAAAGCTTTCGCAGGTAATAGTCAATCTACCGAGCGTCACTATAACGTATTGCGATAACGTATCAAGTCCCTCGGACTTGTTATCAAGCTTGTATGTACTGTGAAGCTCATTTTTGTTTAACCGTTCAGCCGTTCTTATGCGTGCGAATACTTTGTTTTGGGACGATCGATGGGCGCTAAATGCAATTAACAATTCAGCAGGAATTCTCGCTCGATCGAAGCAACTAGCGATAAGGTTTTTCAGTGACTTACCTCCATATATATAGTGTTACTCTATCACGCATATTTATATTGTTTATATTATATATATATATATACTGTATACAATGGTTGTGCTCCTTCGTGATATGATACAAAACAATGCGCGAGGATGAAATATTCTTTAAAGGAATCATCGGAGCCAATTTCCAAAACGCATGATATAATATATCTTTATACAATAGAGGCGCGGATCGGTCAACGATCCCTCCTCTAATAATAATTAATCAACTTGGCGCTTATCATAGCCAATCGATTGATTTACAAAATCGCATTTTTTTTGGATTCAACTAAAATTAAGGTGCTGGACGATAAATACAATTTTCATGGTTATCCCCCTGAACGTATTTATAATATCGATGAGGTGGATCGGTGGTGGCTTTTTTCCCGTTGTGACAGGGGAAAGACGATTGCAGTAAAAAAGTGTTTCAGCCAACCGTAGAAAAGTTATTCGTGACCCCGTACGTAAATCCCGTGTGCAACGTACTTCCGTAATACACGCGCAGTACTCAGTAACGGGCAGGACCGTCGCTTAAGGTTCGCCGTGAGTTTCAGCTAACGAGAAAGAAAAAGTGAACTGCGCGACTTTGCGCGAGCGTGGATTTCAGCGGGATTTGCAGGCTTTGGAAAGCCATGAGCTATGGGACGATCCCGAGTGCGCGAGAAGGAGAGCGAAGAAAGAAAATACCGAGAGTCCGCGAGTAAATGTGGATTTTTGCGAATTCGAAGGAAGAAAGTGGAATAATAATGAAAAATAAAGAAGAACTAGATAAAAGGTGAAACAGGAGCAAATGTCAATATAACTTTACGTTCAGTGTTTTTACGCGCGAAATTTGCATCTCGTGTAGCTATAGCTATATATAGTATGTGCGGCTCGCACGATTATCTTTACTTTGGATCAGGGATCGATCGATCGATCCGAGTTATCGATTGGCTCAGCTGTAGCCTATAGTCACCCACATACAATGCCAGTTTTACACACGTACACAGGATTACATTATCGTTAATCATAACTTTTAATACTTATTTGTAAGTCGTTTAGTATGAAAATAATTTAGCACGCTTTTCTACGGCAGAAATCTCATCGCTGCCGTTCACATCGCCTAATAAACACTAACTGGAAGCCCCGTCCGTGACGTAAGAATCACCTCCTGGCGGCGAGATAGAGCAATGGGGTTAGGAAGAGCGCCAGTGCGATCTCGGGGCTGAGTGCGACCCCCGTGCTGAGGGCGTCGGACGGCAGCTCGCCGGGTGGCCTCATCGACGGCAGGCTGTAGTCCCTGTCGTAATCTGCAAGCAGGATTACGAATTCGGTCTCACGATCCACTGTGGAAATCAGCGCGCTCCGCGCATGCGCCCTGCCTTCCCTATTTCCCAATGTGCCTTTGTACTTGCTTTTTTATTTCATTTCGCTCGAGACCGCTTTATTCCCTTCTGTCTACGTATTTCTTTCGGGACCTTGCTGCCGGAAACTTTCTGCTACTTATTCGAGATTCCTTCATCCGTCCACCCCCCCACCCCTTTACCTCCCTCGCTCAGCCTTCTCACTGTGCCCTTGTCGGACTTTGTTCTCTCTCTCTCTCTCTCTCTCTCGTTCACTCTTGAGAAGTGGCTACGTCACTGCAGTCGTCGATTGTCGGAACGATTCCATCGTACAAAGTTCTCTGCTGTTACAGTCCTGCAGTGACGTAAACACTGCTTTGGAAAAGTCTAGAAACCTTAAGGCCAATCCTCACGTATAGCGATACTCGCAAGTGGCAGTGGTAGTGCGCGGGAATACTTGACGATTCTTCGGTGAGGATAATCGGGAAGTCGATTAAATGGTGACGCCTCTTTGGTTGCCAGTGAGAAAGAGTGAGGGAGAGAGAGGGAGAGAGATCTGTAGGATTTTTCAACATTCTTGAGAAACCCATGTATATATACATATACATATATATATATATATCTTAAGTCCTGGTCTATAACGTCAGGCGCGACTGTGAGCGGAGAAGAGGGTGGGAAAAGCATGAAGAGGAATGAGAATTACTAGCTGGAATAGGACACGCCTTAGGCGACTATATAGAACTGGCAGGCGCACGTAAAGTCGAGAACGATTCCCTTTCAAAGCGTATCGAATGGCACCTACGGAAAATTAGGTAGGAAATTTTCCTTCTTTCTACAGACCCACACACGTCCGCGCGTGTAGTTCTACTCCGCTAAGAAAACACGAGCCGTTCTGGCGACTTTTCAATAGGGACAGAAACACTTCTTCTCCTGTCCGTAAAATCGATGATACGTGACTTTTCATGCGACGTAACTATATCCTTGTACGGAACCTCCGCTAGTCTTTATATGGATTGCGAAAGGGTCACGGAACTGCATCTGGACATCTCGGCGAGGTCAATTAATGGAAATAGCAAGATTCACGTTCGATCGATGCGCCCAAGACCAAGATCCAATTTTGTGATTTTCGCACGGCTCTTTCGAGCTTAACCGGAAGTTGGGATCGATCCAGAGAAGAATGGGAAGAGAACGAGAAACAAGAAGAGAGAAATGAGAGAGATCGAGCATTCTCGCGAAACACGCGACGGAGCAATGGCGCGAGTGTGGGGTG